AAGATAAAATCTATAAATTAATGCTATGGCAGAAATACAAGTGTAATAGGGAATAATAGGAGGGTTAACTGTCAGTAGAGTAGTCAGAGAAGGCTCCTCTGGACATAATATTTATGTAAGCAAAGGCCTAAATGAATAGAAGAAGCCATCCATGAAGGTATGGAAGGGTAGAAATAAGTGCCAGAAGTTAAGGAAACAATAAAAGCTGGAAGGGGGTTAACATCTCTCAAGGAACTTAAAGAAGGCCAGTGTAGTTATCTGGAGTGTGTGAGGGGACAGCGGCATGATCCACAGGTGGTTGGAAAGAAGAACCGGGTCACATCATATTGTCTATGGAAAAGAACTGAATTTTTTTAAACTTTATCCCATAGAATTTCACTGAAGGATTTAGTACAGGAGAGTAGTGTGGATATGGTGAAGAGTAGAAACAGAAAGCCCTGTTCAGATACCTCAGCAATAATCCTGAAAAAAAGACGATCAAAGCTCAAGCATCAGGGGGCAACTGCAGAAGTGTAAAGAAGTTGGAATTGACATATACTTTGGCAATACAATGGACAGAAATTGATGACAGGTTGGTTTTATTGACTGTCAAAAAGATGGTAACTCCAGGGTGACATCCACTATTTTTACAGTGACATGGATGATGACGCCATTCATTCATACAGAGAAATCAGTTGTGTTCGATGGGGTGAAATCAACATTCTGTTTCACTTATATGTAAGATGTTTACAACACATTATAAGAGGAGATGTCAAGAAGTTGATCGGTATGTCATTCTGGAATTGAGGAGAAATCTGACTTGGATATAAATTTGGAAGTTAGATTTAAATCTGTGAGCATAGATGAAATCATACCATAAGACAGTACATAGAAGAAAAGAAAGCCCAGAACCCAGCTCTAAGAATCTGCTGTTTAGAGATTAAGAGGAAGGGAAAGCTGAGAAGGAGACTGAAGGGCAAAAACCAGTGAGTTTTGGTGAACACCAGGTGAACGTAGTGTTTTATGGGACAGAAAAAAAGGAATGTGACTTAAGGAGGCAAGACTTGTCAATTGATCAATTGCTGCTTCAAGGAGAGGGATTCTGTTCCACCAACAATCTAATCACTAATTCTATCAACTCTCAACTCTACCTTCTCTGAAGTCCATAAAAATGTTCTGTTCCTTCTTTCTCAGGAAAGGGAGAGGAAATGGATATGGCAAATTTTGCCTCCCTTCCCACCTATCTTATCTCTTTCTTTTCTAGATTTTCTCTCAAAATTATCTACAAAATAGTTTCCACTCCCTCATCCTTTTACTCTTTAATTCATTGTATTGTATCCCTACCCATTTCCCCTTATTCTCATCATTTCTGGTCTTTGATATTCACCACCAAAATACTGATGATTAAATTTTCATATTAGTGATTTTTCTGCTGTGTGAAAAAATTCCAGAGTTTGTCTAATATCAAAATTGTCCTTCAGTTGTTGGAATTGTTGGTAATTGTGGAACCAAATACTATAATATTTTATTTAATGCTTGGAAACCTCTGTATCCATATTCTTTCTTCTTTTCTTCTAATCATTTTTCTTTCCTATATTGAATTTACATATTATAATTCATGATTTGGTATCACACTTTTATGGTCTTCCATGTGTAAATTCCTAAACTCCAAAGAAGCCACAACTGTAGTAAAAAAGAAAAAAAGAATCCAGGAAACTAATACAGATTTTGGTTTCAGGTAAGGAAGTGCTGCTACAACAAATACCTAAAAATGTGGAAGTATTATCCCAGTAAAATCCAAAGAATTTGATGATGGTACAGTCTAGAAGAATTTTTAGAAGCATGATGGGCAAAGCCTAAATTACCTTAAAGAAATTTTTGGTAGAGTATGGTTGTTAAAGATGATGATGATGGCTTAGAAGGAAGTGAGGATCTCAGTAAAGAAAGCTACTATCATCTTTGAGAACGCATATGTTGTCTTAGCAGACTGTTGATAAAAATATGAGCATTATAAGTTCTTCTTGTGAGGGACCAGAAAGAAATACAGAATACATCATTGAGGGCCGGAAGAAAGGTGATCTATGTAGTAGAGTGGCTTAACTAAATTGAGTCCTGCATTCATGTGAAAAAAAGAATTTACAATGAACTTGAGTATTTAGTTGAGGCAGATTACCAGCAAAATGTTGAAGGTGTGACCTGGTATCTTCTTTCTGTTCATGAAGAAATATGAGAGGAAAGAGAGAAATTGAGGAAAGAACTGTTAAGCAAAATTTCTCATAATTTATTATAATAACCACAGGAAACTAATAAAACTCTGAAGGGAAATCAGGAGATCTCATACTATTAAGCTATGCCAATAAACGGATCTTTGGTGTAGAACCACATTAGTTTAGGCTGCCTGCTCACTAGATTAAGATATCTGATCAAGACTTGTTATTTTGATTTTACATCACTTGAAGATTCAGGACATGCTCCCATAATTCCTCAACTTATTCTTTTAAGATTGGTTACAAATGATAGGGAAAATAAGTCTACTTTGTTGTAGAGCTCAAGTTCCCAACCTGGCCTATCAACAACTTTGGGTCACTCTATTAGTTGTGTTGTAATTTTTCATTTTGTTTGTTTTTTAAGACACAAGTTTCCAGGCCTTCTTCCTAAGTTAATTTTCTGGGACTGCAAATAGGATATGTTATGTTTTTCTATGGTTTTATACATTATTATGATAACTGACCATTTCAGTAAACCATTGAGATTGCAGACCATAGCTGTATTTGCCTACCATTTCCTAAGTACCTGGTATGTGTCAGAGATATACTAGGTGAGTTTTATGTAACATCTGCATTGAATCAGACAACAAAATTCTTAATCTCAGCTTTGTGCCCTGCATTCATGTGGAAAACAGAGCTTACAATGAACTTGAGTATTTAGTTGGCAAACTGAGTTTCGAAGATATTACACAGCTTATCCAGGCGAGTAATTAAGGGAACTCATATTTGACCACATATCTATCTGATTCCAAAATCCATGCTGAGTGCAGAAAAATCAGCACAGTGCAGTGGAATGAAAACTGTTCATTCGCATTCCCATATACAGCCTTTCTAAGGCAATGATGTTAGATAGTTCATTTAACTTCTCAGACACTACCTTCAGTTTGTCCTATTTGAACAAAATCACAATAATATGTATCTCAAGCAGTTGTTATAAAGATTGAATTTAATTATGTAAATAGTAATACTTAACCAACTGTAAAGTGCCATGCAAATATATTTTTACTATAGTTTTTACTTTTACCTGTTTCTTATTTACAGCTTAGCAAAATATGATAATGTTATATTGTAGAAGCACTTGCTCTCATAAGATGCCACATCTGCTGCCGGCTGCTTTCATTCTTAAGACTAAAGACTTCCTGAAAAGTTATTTCTGGAGCCAGACTGGACCAGAATTTGAGTCCCAACTCTGCCAGTATATTTACTGACAGTATAATTATGGACTAGTCTCTGTTTGATTTCATTATTCACCTATCAAAAGAGGAAGAGATGATCTTGGCTTGAGGTCTAAATTGAAATAATAATACAGAGTGCCTATAATATTTATTTATGATCATTATGATTAATTATTGCATTACTAACAGTAGCTGTGTTAGAAGGATGGCAAATACGCCATGAGGTTCCCTGGGCACCATCCTGGGAAGAGTAACACAGGCAGAAGATGGAAGAATGCCAGCAACAAGGCAGCATACACTGCAGGGCACGGCAAACAACGAAGACCAATTATAACCCACCAAAACACCAGCTCCCACTGTAGCCTTGTTCTCATTTCCATGCCTGAAAAATTATTCAACTGTGGCTCCTCTGTAGCACGAAGAGTCTCAGCAAGGAACCCCTAAACAGATAGGAAAGTGAAGATTTAAATTTCACATATACATATATATATATATATGTACATTCACATGCAGAGTGGGAAGAGTGGGAGAAAGAATATTTCCCTTGGCACTTGGCAAAAAGAAGGGTAATCATAAACTAAGCAGTTAACTAAATAAGTCAGAATGTTCTCTCGTGGTATATAATCTGATTAGAATAGCAATAGCAACCATTTGGTGAATTCTTGAACTAGGAATTGTGCTAGACATTTTATGTACGTCTCACTAGGCTGTAAAATGCTGTTAATTAAGGAATCATGACCTCATTTTACAGCTGAGGAAACTGAGGCACAGAAAGATTAAGTAAGGTATCAGTGGGTAAAGATCTGAGAAATGTTGATGGTGGAATTCAACATAGTGTCTAACCATCTGCAAAGCCCGTGTCTCATGTGATGGCTCCACAGGAAGTTCTTGTGTCTTACAAGGCTAGTCCTTTCATAGCAACGGCTGTTACTGGTTATTCTGCCTCTGCTCTTTTACGTTGTTTATACCCCTTTCCAGGAAAAAAATGCATGATAAAATCAGCATTGATAGGTAGGTAGATGACACAGAGAGAGAGAGAGAGTGTGTACATGTATATGTGCACAGTTGCCATCTGTGACTTTAAAATGACCTTGTGGATCTTGTTAACATATTGCCTGTGCTCTGCTTGTGTTCTGACGCAGGTGTACAGAGCAACTCGTTCACGACGACCTGCCAACCACCAGTGTCATCATGTGCTTTGTGGATGAGGTGTGGTCCACTCTCCTGCGGTCTGTTCACAGCGTCCTTAACCGCTCTCCTTCACATCTCATCAAGGAGATTCTGCTTGTGGATGACTTCAGCACCAAAGGTAAGAAAACCACTCTTGGAAAATCAAAGTCTCATATAAGGCAGTAGCAGTTTGAATGGATGGAAAAAAAATTGTAGCCGAACTTGATGAAATGTAAACATTTACAAAGTGCCAAATCATTGTTGCATGTGCCTTTCAGGCCTAAGTCCAAGCATTTCTGGGATACACGAAGGCCCCTCTAACTGTCCTCTGGGGCCTCTTCAGTTAGCCACCTCAGACTTCCCTTCAGCTGTGATTTCTCTTCCATGTAGGAATAATTTTCTAACTCCAGCTCCCTGGAGATGGGCGCTTTGAAGTTCCAGAGACCAGAAGATGTTCTCTGCAATTGCACAAATACCTTTTTATGGATTTAATAAGCGAAGACCCCACAATTAATGCAATGCCTTTCCTAGTAGTAATAAGTAGAGTTGGAGTTAGACTGTATGGAAAACAAGAAATGGAAGGCCTACAGCTTCTTCCCCAATAACAAAGCCTAGTATGTGTTCAGTTATGAGCTGAAAAGACAAATTGACAGTAGGACCAGAGAAGTGAGGTTCTAACAGAGTTTGAAAGCAGAATCCACCAAGCTCTTTCTTTTTGTTTTTATTATGGTGAAGAAGAATCTTCTTTGGATTGTCAAATAATTTGTGCATGGACATGATCCCACAACTGCCAGAGATCCATTACTGCCACATTAGGAATTCCTTATATGCAACGCACTTCAGAAAATTTTAAAAAATAGCAAAGAGTTTGTGATCTTATTTGAGCAGCTTGGACTTGACCATGCCCACAGCGACATGAGCCGGTTTCCTTAGCCTCAGGGTGCCTTCCAGGACCATACTGAGCCCTTGGAGCAGTGAGCACTGAAGGAAAGCTGCTTGAAAATTATAAGAAGTAGCCTGGAAAGCATAAACAGAAAACCATATCTAGTTACCAAGCAGATAATAGTCCCTTTGGGAATGGCATATCCAGATTTTGTGGGACTTGAAGCTTTCATTGTTTTTTTTTTTAAGAAAAATAACACAAAATTAATAGGAAATTGAGCAGAAGAAGTATTCCTGGAAGGCATTCCTAGCTGGGATGTCTGTCAAAGCTTACTTAACACAGAGAAGTGACTTCAAACCACATAAATATACCCCATAACCTACCCCCCACCAAAAAAAAAAAATGTTCCCTTAGCTGAATCCCTCTACAATCCTACAGCAAGAGAGCAGAGGTATGATGGAGGGGATGTCATAGTAGGAAGTGACAGTGATCTTAACTGATTGCAGTTGCAATATCTTTCTTTTGTAAATGTTTCTATTTGCATGCAGTGCTTAGCCTCCTCCCCAGTCTTGGAAGGTCCTTTGCAAGGGAAGAAGGTTGGACAGAAAAGTGACCCTCTTTTTTTTTTGGGAAAATTTGCCCCTGCCCTGACAAATACTCAGAAAAAGTGGCCTTTCTCTGTGTAACTTGGCAACACTGAAAAGAAGGATTTGGGATTTAGAAAAATGGACAGTTTAGAGTATTGAACCCAGATTAAAACCCACCTAAGAAAATGACCTCCAAAAATAAAATTACGGCCCAAAAAGAGTAAACTTTAGAGACTATACTAGATGTCATAGTGTTTGGAATTTGAGGAGGCATTTCTGGTATCATCCAGATCTAGTCAATTAAAGTGTTTCTTTGTCTATTCTTACTCTGATATAGATTACCTAAAAGATAATTTGGATAAATACATGTCTCAGTTTCCAAAAGTTCGGATTCTTCACCTCAAAGAAAGACATGGCTTAATAAGGGCCAGGCTGGCAGGGGCACAGATTGCAACAGGTAAGAAGCTGTTAATTTTTCTGTTGTGGTTACATTTTTATTTTAGTTTTTTTCTTCAAATATATAGCAAATTTGAAATAATACTACCATGAACACTCATATCCATCATGTCCTCTTACCAGTTTTTAGCTCTGCAACATGTGCATCTTTCACACACACAAACACACACTCGCACGTACATTTGTATAGATACACATTTTCTCTGAGCTTTGGAAAGGGACTTACAGATATCATATCACTATACTTCTGAGTCCCTCAGTCAGCATCTCGGAGATCAGACACTCTCACACATGAGCACAAACTTCATATCTAAATATTATCTAATATATGCTCCTTTCAAATTTCCTCATTGCACCCCAAAATTTTATAGCTGTTTCTTTTGAAAGTCAAGATCTAATTCAGTTCCATCCACGACGTTTGGTTGTTTGGCCTCCTTAGCTTTCAGTCTAGAGTGGGCAACCACACACATTGCTTACTGTCCACTGACTTTTCTTTTTTTTGAAGAGAACAGATAAGTTGTTAAGCACATTCTGAAATGTTCTCAATTTTCCTCATGTTACCTACAGGATGAATGTTTTTGGCATGAGTGTATGTAGAATTCTACTACATAGGGGATGGGAACTGTGGACTTATTGCTTCAAATCAAGAGGCACATGATGTCAAGTCATCCCACCCATAGCGATACTAATTTTGAGCACTTGGCTAAGGTGTTGACAGCTAGAGCTTTCCTTTGGAAATAGGAAGTAATATGTGGGTGATACTTTGATCCATGTGAATAATCTGTTTCCTCACAACATTTTATCCAAAAGTTTAGCAATCATTGATGATCATTCTTTAGATCAGTTATTACAATGAAGGCTGCAAAATTGTTTTCCTAATTCTTTCCTTCCTTCTTTTATGAGCTGGCATTCACTTGTAGAGAAGAAATCTCTCTTTGTCTCTTTCTCTCTCCCTTCCTCCCTGCCTGTCTCTCTCCCTCTTTCCTCCTCATCTCTCATGCCCCCATCACTATGGATTTAAGCCTTAACAATTCAATGTGTATATTTTTAGCATTATTTTTCTTTTGGTGCTCAAATTGTCACATTTTTGGCCTCTAGGAGCTTCTTCAAACCTGTGCCTTTTTGACCTGATGCCATCAGTATTTGAGGACTTTAGAATGAATTCTCTCTTCCCTGACCTTTGTCTTCATTTCCGGTAGTCCATTCTGTCTTCCCAAAGAGCAATATGCCTTCTTTCCCTCTCCTCTTTTTAGTGTGGGACGTGGTGGGTGAGGGAGGAATTAAATTTTTTGGTCCCTAAGTATTCTAAAAATAACATCAAACATTGCCTTTCATTTTCCCATCCTTCTATGAAAGGACCTATACCATTCTAAACACTTTCTATGCTAATTGATTTAGTCCTCACAGAAATCTCCGAGTAAGTACAACCATTTTCTCATTTCACACATGAGAATATGCAGGCACAGTGAGGTCATGACTTGCCTAATTTCTCCCAGCTAGTGAATGGTAGAGCCAGGATTAGAACCCAGAAAGCTTGACTCTAGGACCTGCACTCTTTTCACTACATTCTGCTGCATCTAGACACTTAGCCGCCACTCTGCCCTTGTAGCCATGGCATCGCAGGCCTCTACCAGCTTGGATTCAAGCATTTTCTGATGGTGAATTACCCTCCCATCTGTGTTTCACTTCCTTGTAACTAGACCCCAAATTTGGAACTCTTCTCATCCCACCGATTTGCTAACACATTTATTCTCCCTATAATGGAAATTTTAAATTGTCAACAAACACATTACACCAAAATCGGCATTGCAGCAAACAGCTAAATAGGATTCTTGATGACAGACTGCATATGGAAAAATTGAATGATAGTACATGTCTGATTTCCTTAGGAGAGCATTTATCCACAAGTGATGCAAAAATAGGACAGCGAAGAAATAATCCAAGTAGGTAACTTTTGAGCTAAGATCTAGGTAAAGAGCATTCCCTGGCCAATAGAACAATCAAGTGCAAATGTCCTGGTACAGAAACAAGCTCTGTATATTCAAGGTGGAGACAGAAGTTTATTGTGGCTGATGGGTGCTGACCATGGAGACAGCCATAGGTGATTCATTTAGGGTGAAAGGCAAAGGCAGTCTTTTGTAAAATTTTATAAGTCACTGAAGGAATGTAGGCATTATTCTTGGTATAATGTGAAGAGTCTCTGTAATCAGAGATCAGCAGATACCAGTTCAGAAATTTTCTCTAGAATGCCTCAGCCAAACAAAGAGATCAAAGATGAGAATCTGAATATAGAACCTGACAGGCCTTAACAGCTATTGCTCCCTGAAGATCTCCTCTTTAGGATTCAGAGATAAGTGAAGGGAAGTCACAGGCAAGGACAAAATCAGAGATCCAAGGACATGCAGAAAAAGAAGTCAAGTGGCCCCATTTTGGTTCCAGGGTATTATCAGGCTCTCTGAAATTCTGAAGCAGTCTTCTACAAAACAGCAAGGGCAACACAGCAACTCTCTTACCACTAGCAATGTCCACTCTGCATTCAGGTTCCAAGGCATGGGAGGTTGTCCATCTGAATCCGATTCATGCAAAAAGATCAGGTCCAAGCAGTTCTGTACTGGGGATGAATTGTCAGAGAGGTCAAGTGGGGTTCCAAAATGTGAAGGGTTGCCCGCCGTCAGTGGATCTCTAACAAAAGTCCCTTATTATAAGAGCAACAGAAGTAAAAAAGATGGGGTGATTGAATTATACCTGAACAAGCTGACCACACAGATCAATGTGTATTGACAAGCCAGTTATTGCCCTGCCACGAGCTGCCTGCAGTTCAGTCAGTGGTGCAGTCTGGAGAGTGAGAGAAAAGATCGGATTCTCCTTTTCTTCCAAACATGTCATTTAGCGAAATGCTTGATGTTGCTGTGAGCATTCCAAACAATCCTTTGCTTAACTTGAAGTACATGGACAAATGATATTTAACTCCTAGTCAACTCTGAGGTCTGCTGAAGAGCCACAGTCCTTCTCCAAATATCTGCAACTTGTTTCTAAAACAGGTGGTTTCCTCTGCATCATTCATAAATCATGATGTAAAATTAAATGGCCAGTCATGCCCACATCCCTCAAAGAATCCTAATATAACACTTCAGCACTAGTTGGTACTGGCAACAAGTACCCATGCTGGTTGGCTAAATAAAAGTAGGGGTCAATACTCAGCAAGAAGCCGAAGCTGTCAGACATATTGAGCGTCTCTGGGTTGGCCAAAATATAAATAAATAAATAAGCTACAATCAAATCCATCTGCAAAAATCCAGCATTGCTAGAACCTGCTTTTGGAAAAGAAAAAAGAAATCTGCCACATGGTCATAAAAATTAGGTTAATTATTTAGAGCTATAAGTTTAACACTTATTGAAAAACAGTAATAATACTAACCATTTATTAGGAATTTAGGTATTAGGTACATCTTAGGTAAATAAAATTCAAAGGGGTTAAATAACTTACCCAATGTGGCTAAGAAAAGCAGAGTTATATGACTTCAACCCTACGTTCATTTAATATTGCCTCAGCCTCTCAAGGTCAGGAACAGTGAAAGATCCACAGACAATAGCCACCACAATTAGATATCCCACCCATCAGCTCCCTGTTCTAATTCCTGAGATCTTATTTTACATAAAAACGTCTGAAAGTGAAGGAATGACATTCATACATGGAAGATTCTCTCTCCCAAAATAAAATAGCATAAAGTACCATCCTGTGTTTTGGGCAGATGCTGTTTCCCTCGGATCCTGGCAACAAGTGAATGAAAACCTTTGTGGGGATCTAGGCTAGGTGGAAAGTGAATGCAGGTTTGGGGACTCATCTTTCTGCCCCTGGGAATGGAGGAAGTCATTCCAGGCCCCTGTGCCCTAAAACCTGCTGTGGGAATGGGGACCAGCAGCCTAGTGAATGCTCTTTGGTTTGCATGGGCCAGTAGTGGGAGCGCTGAAAGAAGGGAGACTGTGTTTTGCACATCCTCTACCACTAGCCAGGTAGGACTTTAACAAGCCATTCTTACATACCCTACACATTTACATGACCCCTGTGAACCCCCACAACAGGGTAAGGGCTGTGCAAGATGGCACACTTAGGTGATAATGATCTTTCATGATTAAACAAGCCACAATTCCCTGAAAATAGGACTCTCACAGCAAGATCAGGAGATGTAAATGCTGTCTCCAAGAGTAGGGCATGATGGGGCAGGGGATTTCTGCTTAGCACAACTCAGTTCTGACTAAATAAATTTTTCAAGAACCCTCCCCCACCAAGATCTTTGCTAAGGTCAATCCCTTTACCTTCATGCAAAAATTCCATTATTGGTCAGGTAATAAGATATTGAATCCATAGTTTACAGATGTCAGTAGGTAATGATGTATCATCCAGATATTTTTTTCACGTTGCTCCTTGCCTGCTGCTATCTTCTGCTTTTACTTTAAGCCTTCCTGTACTCATAGCTCTGTCTCTTTATGTTGTTTTTTTTTTGAACACAGTCAATGGAATGAACTACCTATTTCCTAGTATCAGCCTCCACTTAGTTATGCGAACTTGGAAAAGTTGCCCAAGGTCTTTGTTCTTACATGGGAATAAAACTTAGACCTATTATTTCTTTATCTCTTAAATGGGAATAAAAATTTTACCTGTACTTCAGGTTTTCTGTAAGCATTAAATAAAATGACCATGTAAAATGTTTAGAACAGTGTCTGGCATAGATTAAGCACTTAATAGAAGACAACTGATGTTATCATAGGCTTGTCAGGAGCTGAGGGGAGCAGGCAGGTGTCAGAGTGGTCAGTTAAAACCATAAACCAAAATGAAAGCAAGAATCAGATCTTACTCACTTCCTGCAATAGTCTAAGAAGTGCAGGAGAAGAAAGCCCTGCCCCCCACAGCGGTCCACTTTCCCGGGGACAAACAGTAAGTGTATCAGAATAGATGTGAGGATCATCCGTCTCACTTTCTAAACAACAGGGCTGTTGCTTCCTCCTCTTTTATGGCCTGGGGACCAGGGTGAGAGTAAAGGGGAAGGACTAGGAGCGGAAAAGTACTGAATAGTTATCAGGAGTGAAGAAAAATGCCCTGAAGATCTATCCAGCCCCTGTCAGGTGAGGCAGAGGTCTCGGCCTGAGAGAGGCCTCCAAATGGAGGAACCTGGGATAGGAACGCAGCTGTGCTGCAAGCAGGTCCAGCCAAGACGGGGCCAGGGGGACCTGAGTCCCTGACTGTAACTCCCTGCAGGGACTGTGGCTGCCAGCTAGTCTGGTGGAGAAGCACAACCTTCCCCCAGGAGGCTGGCCATGAAAACCTTTTTATGGCTTAGAGCCAGGCCTGAAAGATCACACGTAGGATTTTGGCCCAGATTCCGCAGGCTATTATTGTTAATCATACACACATACACACACACACACACTCCATTTGTATAAAATTACTTGGAACAATGTAGATACTGCTGAGATTTTCATTAGGGAGAGTTACTTCACACAACTAAAAATAAAAAAAAAGAATTTTTAATATTTCTAGCTCCCAAGTTTTTTCTTTTTTTCTCCTGTAACTTATTTAATTGTGATAAAATACACATAGCACAAAATTTACCATCTTGACCATTTTTTAAGTATACAGTTAAGTCTGGTGAATCATGTTCACATTGTTGTGCAACCAATCTCCAGAACTCTTTCATCTTGTAAAACTAAAACTCTGTACCCATTAAACAGCTCCTCCCCCCTCGACCACAACCCTTTTAACTCTACCTCCTAGTCTTGCTGTAGGTGAGTTCTTCCGTCCTATTACAAGGGAATAAAACTTAGATCTTTATCTCTCTCTTTTTAATGGGAATAAAAATTAGACTGCTAGTTCAGGTTTGTTATAAGGATTAAATATGACAACCACATAGTCTCTTCTTTTCTTTAATTTCTTTTCATCCCTACTTCATGGGGCAAGTCTTCCTCTTGACCATTCCGAAGTCCACACTTTGAATGCCAAACTTGTCCTGTTCTGCAAGACAAAGTCCCAGTCCTCCACCCCCGAGGTGATGGGATCCACCCTCCTTAGAAAAGACATAAGCAACTGCTTTTAATATCACGGATTCCCTTCCAAGTCTTGACTACCCATTCTAGGAGGCTTCTCATTGTTTTCAATGTGTAAGTGATGCTTGCCCCACAGGACTGCTAGAAACAAAATTTCTTTCATTTCATTATAGAATGAAATTATAGGGACCAGGAATTGAGTATGAAGAAAAGATTATTGCCTTCAGGACCACATTTCTGGAGCAATCACCAAGACCTTTGAACAGGAAGTACATACACTTAGTAATATCACATTTTTTTTTCTGGCTCTCCAGGTGATGTGTTGACATTCTTAGATTCTCATGTGGAATGTAATGTTGGTTGGTTGGAACCTCTTCTGGAAAGAGTTTATTTAAGTAGAAAGAAAGTAGCCTGTCCGGTAATTGAAGTCATCAATGATAAGGATATGAGGTAATACTGTCATATTCCTCAACATATTTCTAAGTAGGACTTTATCCAGCAGTAGCGGAGAGTGCTGGTCATACTTCTAATAGGTACACTTTTACAAGTCAAAGAAATACAGTGTATCCACTTGAATAAATGGCAATACATGATAGATCTCTTGGGATTAGAGCAGAGTTTTTTTGATCCTCACAAATTCTTCACCCTTAATTCCACCCTTAATTCCAATAAATTTTAATATTCATTGACCAGTTCTTTCCCCTTTCTATTCAATTGAACTCAAAACTATTTATTTTCTTAAGAACTAAAATTGGTTCTTCTGTATATATGCTCCTAATTGATTTTTTCCCTACAAAAAGGGCCAGAATGTTGTTAAAAGAAAAATATAAATGAAAAGCAAGCAATCCAGCTAATTATTCACTAGTGCAAATTATACTCATAAATTTTCTTGAAATGTTAAAAACTGTGAGATGATCTAAAATCATTTGCAGAGGCACTTTTTCATTCATTTCATCAAGACATGGTGTCAGGTTGATTAGGTATATATGTGTAATCTCAGGTAGCTCTTTGTCTTTTTTTCTGGATTAGTTACATGACAGTGGACAACTTTCAAAGAGGCATCTTTGTGTGGCCCATGAACTTCGGTTGGCGAACAATCCCTCCAGATGTTGTTGCAAAAAACAGAATTAAAGAAACTGATATAATAAGGTAAGGGTGTGAAATTTAAGATTAGGAAGCCATCTTTTCATAGAGGCATAGGAAGCAATTCCACAAAATGACTGTATCCTGTCATTGTATAGAACATCAAAAATTACAGTTCTGGCCAATAGATAACCAAAGCAAACAGAGTTTTCCTGAAAAATCTAGCTTCCCTTTATAGAAACTCACCTTTAAATGGTCAGTTGCACCCTATTCAGCCTGAACCCAGAGAAATTCATTAACACACTACTGCTTCTTTCTGGGACTTACAACCCAAGAAACATAAGCTAGTTCGTTGTGCTGCATGAATGCCAAATAAACACACATAATATTAAAGTCAACATGAGTAAAAATCAAGAGAGTAATGGTAATAAAACTATCATTATAATAATAGCTACTGTTAGGATTTTCTTTTCAGAGTGTAATCCTACCCCTTCCATGGGAGGGGTGCCAAATTCTGTGCATGAATTAAGATAAAGACACAGAAGCTGGATAGGAATTTAAACTGGGGTTTTATTGCCAGAAAAGCTGGACTGAAAACAGAGCTTAGACCTGGTGCTAAAGCGGGCACTTCCTAAGGCTTCCTCCAGGGTCTAGACCTGCAGGACAAGCACATAGCTGACCTCAGTCTTAAGCTGCGGGAGTCTTAAACCTTTCCTAGCTGGAGAGAGAGAATGAGAAAGCACAAGCCAGCAAGTCCCAAGAGAAAGCCCAAGTCCAAACTGTGCTTTGCAGCATCTTTCCCTGAACCTACCCCTCAATAGAGCACTGTTCATCCCTTGCCCAGTGTGATACTTTCACAATTGCTACTCCTACCCAGTGAAGTAGAAGCACCATTATGCATTAAACACTATGCAGTTATCCTTCTCTGTAACGCTAGGCAAGAAATGGTAGACTCCCATTAGAGAGATGAGGAAATGGAAACTTAAAAGATTTAAGTAATTTTCCAGGGGTATACAGCTAAGTAAAACAATAAATTGGGATTCAAACCCAGATCTGCCTAAACTTAACACGCTTGCTGTTATCCCACATCTCAAGAACCTCTTTGCATTTGTTAGACTCCCAGTTTGAGGGTCAATGTTGTGACTCAGTGCAGATTATATTCAACATAATGTTAGGAGGAGAATGCATTCAGCATAGTCTGGAAAGGATATCTGGGATACAGATAGAATAGGTACATAAAGGGTTGGGGAGCAGAGAAAAGAATTACTTTACCCTGGAGATCACTGTGTACCACAAACAAAAGGCAGGCTCTCCACACAAATGCTTTCAACTGGCTCAATGGTAACCACCATGAAAAGTGATTACTGCTTTGACTGAATGCTGACTCAAATGTAGTCTCTATCAATAACAGTAGTGAAGGCTCTGGAGTAAAATGCTTTGGATTTAAATCTCAACTCTACCACTTACTAGTGGTATAAGCTTTAAGGAGTTACTGAAACTCTCTGAGTTTCTGTTTCCTCATTTTTCCATTAGGACAAATAGAAGTAGCTACTTCTATTATCTAAGAATTAAATCAAACACAGTAAGGTGCTTTAAAAAGCATTTCCCACATAACAAGCTCTCAGTAGTTTGTCTACAGTTGAGGCAGTATAGTGGACTGAGAGATCGCTGAGACAAGCCAGACCACCTAAACTGAACCCCACATGTACATCACACTTGTCCGCAACCTTGGGAAAGTTTCTTTTATTTTGGTGTTGTAGTTTCTTAATGGTACATGGTCACAGGCTTTTTGTAAAGTCTGAGTTAATATGTATACAGTACCAACAACTGTGTCTGGTCCTTCCTTAGCACTACGTAAGAGTTGTTAAAAATAACATCTCTGGAGAGTTCATGTCAGAGACTAAAGGTCAGCTAAGAATCCCAGGCCCCATCTTAGCTGACCCTAAACAAACTCTGCCTCCATAAACTATGGAACTCATCACTTAAATGCTAGTTGTGACTCCATCCCAAGACCTCTCCACATTTGGTAGCAATTCTGAAATGCCTCCTAACTCCACCACAACCTTATGGGGGTGCGTTCTCAAAGTTGAACTCCCAAGAAATGAAAACTTAACAAACTATTTTCTTTCTGTAGGTGCCCTGTCATGGCAGGGGGATTATTTTCTATTGACAAAAATTACTTTTTTGAACTTGGAACATATGACCCTGGCCTTGACGTTTGGGGAGGAGAAAATATGGAACTCTCATTCAAGGTATTACCAAGTGTTTCTGAAATTCTTTTTGCAATTAAGAGTTTACAATTTTTAAGTGGTTTCATTTTACTAATATAATCAGATATGTGACTGCCTCTGGGAGGACATTTCGTAGAAATGTTAGGGCCTCTGGATTAATGTTTTTATATCCCAGATTGACTTTGGAAGAAGTGATAGCTCCCATGTAATTTACGAGCTGTCCCTTATATTTCACAACACTGTTTCTGCATCTGAATGGGGGGTGGGGGGAATAACTGTCTGCCATTTATAGTAAATGCTAATACACAATAACTTTCCTGGAACATTTTTCTAACATATTAAAGTAATGACATCATTCAGTAATGGGTACTCTGGGACAGCACAAGTGACAGAAACACAAGTGCCTCTAGAGCAGGTCACCAAGAGGCTGTAGTGCTGCGACTTTGGACATCTCAGATAATCGTGATCATGCAATCGTGATTAACATCTAAGGAAGCTGCTATCAAGAAGAACAGCTTTCACACTGTGTCCCACAAGTCATATGGATCATCCTGAGATGTGAGAAGGGAAAGTCAAAAACATGGAAACATACACTTCTTTCCTTGATTCAGTGGAAGCAGGAACTCATGTGTTATACACTGAGATTCTATAAGGATATTTTTAGAAAAAAAATTATTTACAGTGCGGGGTTGGGGAAGAAAAAATATACATTTTACTAATCCTAAAATGGTCCACAGCAATAAATAAACCCGTTGAGTTTCATTTGCTACGGTATGGGAAAGGATTTTGTAGGTTGAGCCTACTGCTTTCTCCAAGAGGGAGAGAGTCAGTCACCAGGTGGTTTCTCGTTGTTCACTGCCCATGATTTGTGGGCAATCACTTGATAATTGATGCTGATCATGAAACTGTTCCAGGTATGGATGTGTGGTGGTGAAATTGAGATCATTCCCTGTTCCCGAGTGGGCCACATATTCAGAAGCGACAATCCGTATTCCTTCCCCAAAGACCGGATGAAGACAGTGGAGCGGAACCTGGTGAGGGTTGCCGAGGTCTGGCTTGACGAATACAAGGAGCTCTTCTATGGCCACGGGGACCACCTCATAGACCAAGGGTTAGATGTCGGAAACCTCACCCAACAACGGGAACTCCGAAAGAAACTAAAATGCAAAAGTTTCAAGTGGTACTTGGAGAACGTTTTCCCCGACTTGAAGGCTCCCATTGTGAGGGCTAGTGGTGTGGTAAGTTCCAATGGCAATTTAAAATCTGACTCTGTAAAAATAATGCAAAATCGTTTTTGGAAATGTGTGAGAAAGAGTGGATTATTCCATTATAAATGAACCCCTAGGATGAGGACAGGTGAGACCAAGTATGGCTGAGGATTAAGCATAGCTAAGCTCGAGGAAGGCTTCCAGGCAGCCAGTTCATTATTAGGTCAGCAAATACCTAATGAGGATCAATAAACCCAGCAGTACTTCAGAGCTGGATTACACGGTGATGAATAAAGTAGCCTGGATCACTTCTTCATGAAGCTTAAAGCTAAGTAGAGAAGGAAAATTATAAACAAATAGGCAAATAAAGGGTAAGGAAAAAATATCATAGCTCTCATGTAGGCAACTGGCCACAAGTGATGAATCCTTCCAGTTATGGGAATAAACTCTGAGGAGACAGCGAAGGCCAGGGGTCAGCCAGAACTAAAGGGAAGAGCCCTAGACAGAGTGTGCAAAAACTCTAAGACATGTGACCGTGTGAGGCTTCAAGAAGTGGAGAGATGACTGATGTTACTCAGGATGTGAAGGAGGGAAGAACGACACGGATGGAGGAGAGGAGGCAGCGAGGAGTCAGGGTCACATGTACCAATATTCCTCGTAGGTACAGAAAGGATACTTGTTTTTTTCTTTTCCCCCCTTTACTCTCCCTCCCTCCTTCCTTCCTTCCTTCCTTCCCTCCTTCCTTCCTTCCTTCCCTCCTTCCTTTTCTCTCTTTCCAGCTCTCTTTCTTTCCTTTCTTTCTTCTAAATTAATGGGAAATTACTGAGTAGGATTCAGCAATGGAATGACAGCTGTATAAACTTCAAAGATGGGTTGAAAATAACAAATTGTCAGACAATCAGGGAAAATTCCAGGCCACAAGGTTTTGTACCAAAAGGGAAGAATCCTCACTAGACAGGATGAATAGAGTACACAACTAAGAAAAACCTCAAGGAAAAGGGGAAACTGGACAAAAGCCGTTTCAAACCCATGCTAGGAAGGAGGCTTGATCTGGAAAGGATCGTGTTGCGTGAGAACGTTTACCACAGACCCGGTTTAGAGATGGTTAGTCAAGCCTTGACCTAGAGCTCTTCCCAAATGGTGCATATTTTTAATCTCTTTTATTGTGTTATTTCTCATGTAAATTTTACAATATTCCCAGAGTTGTTTCATTTTTATTCAGAATTTCCTTTCTCTTCATGCAAGAGGTTCTCAAAGTTGAACATCCGTAAGCCTGCTCTTTTAGGCTATGTTTTTTCAGTTCTCCCTAGAAAGTGAATTGCACAAATCAAGTACTCTCTGCCTAGCAAACCTCCTGATGACAGAGACGTAGTAAAGCCATTCTCCTTGATGGCATAGGGAACTTCTGGAAGAGTGTGGGAGGAAATGAGCCTGAAAATATGTACTCTTTTTATAAAATTCAGCTGACAAGTATATGTGATCTGTTTATTATAATATAGTGTATTATAAAATTACCATCTTTATAGGTCAAAATAGCCGCCATGTCAGGCGATTCTACCTGATATTTGCCTTAGGTAACTCATTATCAAGAACACCCTGGATTTATACACTGTTCAAATAACATGCTTGTAAAATAAAATTCCATCTCCTGATCGGGAAAAAAAGAAATTCTCACCATAGTAATTTTTTTCTGTCCAGCAACACAGAATCTCAGCAAGAGCATTACTGAACACTAACCACCAGAGGGAACTAAAAACTACCTTTTGCCTCTTCTGTGAGCCTAACTTGCATAAGTTTCCGTGAAATTTTTGAAGAACTCTCCTAATAAAGAGCCCCTTGCTGATGATATATTAAGTACATTTAATATAACACATTAAAATGCAGAAAATATTTTTAAATAATTTTAACAAATTTTATTTGTTGCCTTCCTTAGACAAATTTTAATCAAGATGTCGTTTGCTCCTTCAGAAGCAACCAATAGGGAGCATTATTATCTTAAATAAAAAAAAAATGGACCTGTCTCCAGGCAATTCAAAGTAAAATTAACTAGACCATTATTTTGGAGGGACAACTTTGAAATGTTCCAAGAAAATTAACTCCACAATTTTTTGCTACTTGTTCCATGTTTTCCCTTCTTCCAACCTACAAACTTAGGAATTTAAATTCGGTGAAAGTTTTATATATTTTTTAAATGAGAACAAATCATTTTTTATTGAACCAAAAATATTTGAAACAAATAAAAGAACCTTGCCAATAATGTGTCCTTATATTGCCTTAGAGTCTTAGTAAACAGCCTAAAGCCTAATGTTCAACAATTCTGTGATAAACTATGGGGAACACCTACCTTCTAAACTGGAAAAGGAAATAATTCAAAATGGATAATTTAAAACTTATGTACTACCTGATTTTTAAAAAATTAAAATGTTTTATAATAGGAGCATGGATACAATTCTTTAAAAATAAACATTAATAAGATAAAGAATAACAATTCCTTAGCACTTCTTAGATCATTTCTATATTTAAAAAAGCAGTTTTTCCAGTAATTTTCAATAGGAGGGAAAGGAAACACAGTCAGCTGAAGTGGGGGAATAGAAGGCAAGGGAGAGAAACATTTTCTCTTTTTGTCTAATGGCTTTCAGGGCTTGGATGAAGGGACTGCACAAAATAAATACAAAGAAATTAGACCCAGGGTTCCCAAACACTGTTCTGGGCAATGTTATCAGTAGTGCTGCCAAAAATAGGATTCCATGGTCAAGTACTATATTAGGCAAACACTCATATTACACTCCTCTTAGAGCAGCAAGCTAAACATTAACATAAGGAAGGTTCTGAGAAGTTCTGGAACAAGACAACCTTTCAGCTATGTTGAAGCCAGAGTTTTCCAGATCCACTTGAAGATGGAATATTGTCTGAATAATCCTCAAGTACAGAAGCCTAAATTTACATGTTAAGACACAGTAAATTGGGACACCATTTCCTTTCTGTAAACTCCAGGATTATTCTGCATTGGTGCATTTTAATGAAATCTCTTCTCTGAGGTTCATGGTACTTGATGCCTTCTGTGTGGTCTGACTGCTCCCATTTACTAATGTGGATTGTCTCCTCCCATATTTGTCATTTTAAATTGTGCATAGATCTTTCTTGGAGAATTTCTGACAGAAGTTCTGTCCTAGATTTGTTTTGTATGCCAGCCACCTGGGAAGTGACCAACCTGGTACTATTTTTGTTTGCTTTTGCGCCTTGAGGGTCTGTCAGTGTTCCTATCCAAAGCAAGGAGTGGAAATTTGTTTCTCAAACCCAGTGAAGTTTGATATATGGTTTCGGATTGCCAAGGGAGGAAGCAGCTTCCCACCATCTCCCGATGTTCCCGGGATGCCATGCCACTGACGCTCTCACTCTGTAGTTTTCTACCCTTATGGGGAGGACACCAATTTCAAGTCTCTGGCTTATCCATGCCCAAGTTTTTCTCCTGTTCTTGTAGTATTGGTCCCTTGTTTACAGTGAATGGCAGTTTTTCCCCAGTTGCTTGTAGTTTTTTTTCCCCTGCATTTCCTGGTCTCTTAGATGCCCCTTACTTTCTTGCAAGAGAAGCTATGCTAGTGGAAGTGAGGCCCAACCCACTAAGCACCCTTGCGCTGGTGACTCTGTGCTCCCCGCAGCTGCCCCATTCAGGACCCCGGAGTTGTAGCTCTGTGTTAGGCACCACGGAAGAAAGTCCCCACCAACCTCCCAGCTCAGGAGGCTTTCCTGAGGATAGTCTTGGCTCTGCACAGCTCTCCTAAAATCTGAGAAGTCCAAATTGCACTATTAACGCACCATCTCGTTAGCCCTGCCCAGGACGTCAAAAGGCAGTGAGAGAATCAACATCTTTCCGCATTAAATGGTGACTTGTACAACACAGCCTCCATTTTTAACCTTGTAAATCCATTAAAGCCTGGGGGCCTGCCAGAAAATGTCTTTACCCTTGGCTCTGTTCTAGCTTTCGTGACTTTCCTATAATGAATTGTAGCTTGCCTGAGTCATTAGAAAGATTCTGACAGGGAATCAGCTGGAATCTGCTGTTCTTTGAAGGACTCAATTTATCTATGATTCAGTGCCTAAGCAGTCAAATAGCTTGAAGGGGTCAGCCAGGGAACAGACCTTGTAACTATCGGTTTCATTAAATTGCAAGTATGTGCATTGGCTTTTTAATACATGCATCAGAAAACCTTGAGATGAGAAAATAATTACTTTTCTTACCATCTTTTGCTCATTCCCTATTCAGCATTCCAGGCAAGGGTTAATTAAACGCTTCTTTTTGTTGGCTCTGTGGCTGAATCACAGGCTAAAATTGACAGATTGAGGCTGTGCTTTAGCAAGATTACAGTATGTCTCTGTTGGAGATAGCAACCAATACAATTGTATAGTGTTAAGGAAAGCTAAGCTACCAATGTAACTATCTTTTAACTATGTTATAGTTTTATTTTCTGTGTTTTCTGAATGTCTCATTGTACTTTAAAATATTTTTTTCTTAATGCATATTTTATATTTTCTTCCTAGCTTATTAATGTGGACTTGGGTAAATGCCTTTCCATTGAAAACACCACAGCCACTCTGGAAGACTGTGATGGGAGCAGCAAGGTACAATGAGCTGGGGTTTTCTCCCTCCTCATGGGGGCAGTTGAAAGTTGGTTGCAGGTATAGTTGATGACTGTGGGGTATGACATCACTCACTTGAGAAATTCACTTTTGCTTATAGAAACAATGATTAATTTGTACATTTTGACTAATCATAAATTCACTGATAAGACGTCCACCACCAAATGTAAAGACACTTGACCAAGAAAGTAAAGGTGTGGGTACTGATGTCTACCCACCAAGGACCCAGTTCTGGCTCCACTGACTTTGCAAAAACCTGGGTCTTTGGTCAATAACAGTGTCTAGCCCTCAAGCTGGTGTGAGGATGGAATTACCTAATACATAGGAAGCATGCAGAATATCTAACACTTAGTGCTCCCCTAATGTTTGCTGCCCTAATAATAAAGACAAGAGTGTGAAAAATAATGCATTACATATAAAGATAAAATAATAGAGGAAATAAAGGCAGAACATATTTTTAAATACTTAAGGGAGTCATCTTACTTTCTGAGTCTGTCCTCGCCTCTCATTTTTCTACATCCTGAAGGAGTCAAGCAACTCACATGATCCATGATCCACAGTGGAAAATCCCGCAGCAAAACTCTGACACACTCAGAACACAATGGTTAGGGGAGGGTCAGGGCCAAGAGAACAGAGCAGGAACTCCACAGTAACAGAGGTGAGCTCTCAGGCATGGCACCTTCTTCTCCAATCTATGTGCCCTACCCATTCTCATTCTGTGGGGACAGGCATTGGTTTGGGTGCTGAACAGGACTCACAGGAACATGGATCCACAAACAGAACTCAGCCTCCTGAAACTGCAGATCACTCTTTGGTAGAGAAGCTATTTTGTGGTGATAATCTAGGCGTGCCCAGACGTACCTCTTTGCTTTGAGTTTGAGAGACTAGCCCTCTATTTTCCAGCACCTCCCCTTTCTACCTCTTAATTCAAAGCTTCTAGAAACAAAGGCATTTTTGTCATTGCTATTGCTATACTTTAGCTATGGATTTTAAACCTGAAGCAAGGAGAGCTCTTTCTAATAAGGAAAGAGAAGAAACAGTGGGAAGAGAAATGCGTGCAGCATCAGCTGGGAGAAACAACTTCCACAAATTAACGATTTGAAGAGGACTTAAAACCATGAATTGTAAAACAAAAGCACAGTTAGTCCAAATTATATGAAGGTAAAATATCAAATAGTGTAATCCTTTAAGTCTCATCTTCGCAGAGACTGTCTGTGCCTGATTAACCAATAGTTTATCTGAAAACCCAGGTTCTAATCCCATAACCGTCGAGTCTTCGGAGAGGATGCTAGAAGGCAAAGCATGAATTACATAGCCCCTGCCTTCCATAAATACCTAGCTCCCTGTTTGTCTTGTTACTCATTTTTAGCTCTGCTTCTTGGGGTTTGAGTAATAAAAAGTAAATGAACATGGATGAAGTTAACTTATTTTTGGCAGGATTAATGAGGCTTAATACGAAGCCAATGAGTATAGCATTCATCCAAATAAACTCAGAAAGAATAAATCCTTAGGACTGAACCATCAAGATCTACCCTTCACCTTACCTAAAAAGTCTCCTTAGTTATTAACTTTTCAATCAGTGGAGATGTCCCCTTTCCAGGTAATATCTACCTTCCCTTACTAGCCACATTGCTTCCTCATATTATGATATACCTTATTGCTTCTCAAATTTTAACATGCACACCAATTACCTGGGGAGTTTGTCATAATGTAGATATTCATTCAATAGGTCCATGGTAGGGCTAAGATTCAGCATTTCCAACTAGCTTCCAAGATTTGAATACCCTTAAGAGTGGAGAGGTCTAAACCAATGAAATCATCTAAGTCTCAATTATATTGCAAAGGATTCAGTAGATGAAAGCTTTAAGATAGCCTTAACCAGCACTCTATTTTTGTCTGATATGCTTACATTATTGGAAAACAACACATTTCCCATAGACCCAGATCCTTAGAATAAAATAACCAGGGAGGTAGTTGAGGTTGTAAATAACAGGAGAAAATATTTTTGAAAATTGAAAGTGTCGTTCCATTATCTGTATTTATTTTAGACATTGGCAACAGCCCAGAACTGGATTTCTCAAAGACAGCTGCTGTGAACTGGGGATGCTAACACAGCAGCAACCTGATGATTCCTTGTGCTATTAGCAAAGAAAGGTTTTTTTCATCTTTCTTACAGTAAAACCTGTTTAACCTCAAGAAAGATTTTTAAGCTTTCCTACAAAGCCTCTAAGACTTTGGTTGTCTAGATAGTCATAAAGAAGCACAATAATTTCCACCAAAGGATAGCTACAGGTGGTCCGAACACTTCAAGCATCATTGTTGTCTGGGGGTCAGAACAACTGAAACAACACCTAACTGTACTAAGTAATTTTTATTATTGCAACTAACATTTATTGAGGGTTTACTGTGTGATACACACTTGACAACCCTTATCCCAACCCTCTGAGATAAACATTATGACTCTACAACTTAAAAATGATAAAAATGAGATTAGGTAGGGTAACAATATACCCAGACTATCAGTATTGAAAGTGGCGGTACCAAGATTTGAATACTCTACATCTGAACAAAGCGCCTGTATTCTTAGCCATTGACAATAAAAATGTTTGACAAAGCCCCTCCCTGCGTTTACTGCCTGCAGTGACCTCCTTCTTCATTTCCCCCACAGCTTCAGCAATTTAATTACACCTGGTTAAGACTTATTAAACATGGAGAATGGTGCTTAGCTCCCATCCCCGATGAGGGCGCCCTGCGGCTGCACGCCTGTGATAACAGAAACAAAGAGCTAAAATGGCTGCATAAATCAACATCTGTCTTTCGTCCAGAACTGGTAAGCAAAATATTTGTACCTCATCTTTACCACAAACCCAACTTTCCATTAAATGGGACATAAAACCTTCACTGTCAGCTTCCTCAATCGGAAGCTTTAAATGTGTTTGTGACAATAGAGGCAGTGTGAAAGAAAGCTCGTATTGAGAGATTAATAGATATTTTTGTAAATTGTCAAGTCTTTTTTTTTTACAGTATTTATTTCAAATCTGTTATTTTAAACAGAAGTCACCAGGTTCTTTTGGTTGTACTGTTATCAGCATCTGTGTTTCTAAAAGTCATTTGCTTTAGTCAATTAGCAATGCCAAGAGTAAGGCTTATAGGCTAGAGCGGCTCTCACTGGTGACCAGAAAACTTAGAGGGAGAGTGTATGGGGAAAGCAGGAAGCAATGTGCTTCCTACAAGCCCTGAACTTTAGTATGCATCTGGTTTGCAGGCATTCTGCCTCCGTCCTGTGGAGGGAGGTTTTTCTCATTCCCTGATTCCTAGAGAGCTGGGTTCTTTCAAGGGTATTGGAGCCGGCTCCCTGCAGCTTAAAGGAGCTGATTGTATGCAGTCACCTTCAGTTATATCACATCCGTACCTTGAAATCAGCCATGATGGTGTTGCCGGGCAGCTGCATCTGGGAGGTCTTTCTCTGCGCACCAGGTGAAACCTCAACCTGGAGGGGAGAGTGTTCTTGACTCTGAAGGGAAAGAATTCTTGAGCAGGTTGGAGGAATGTAGGTAAGGAAGGAATTGATTAGAGTGAGAGTAGAAATGACTGGCAGTGGCCTTGCAGGCAGCTGAGAGCAGGAAATGCAGAAGTGCAGGGGGTAAGGTCGCTAAGCATTTCTTGGTATTGGACGATGCCCTTGTCATCTCTTAAGGCCAGGGTCACTTGGCACCCCGTGTCCACTTGGATCTGCACTGCCTGGGGAGAACCTCTACCACCCTAGGACTTGGGGAGCTGCAGAGCACAAGATGGAGGGAGATTATATTCTGAGAACTTCCCAAAGAAGGGAGATTTTCAGGCAGGCTTCCTGCAAGTTCCCAGATGATGGTAATTTGCAGGCCCAAATCTGAGCTCTCAGCAGCCCCTCCCTACTTATCAGGAGTAAAACGAAGACTTGGAAATAGAATGAAATAGCAAAAAGACAAAACACAGTAAGTTGAACAGTGAGAAAGCTTTATTTAAAGGTACACACTTTATTTCAAAGTACAAAAGAGAGAAAAAGTGTGGGCATCCTCAGAGAGGAGGCACACTAAAACACTGGGATTTTTGTCTTGTAAGAATTTTTCAAAGGGCCAGTGGATATAGACTTGTAAATGGTCTCAAAATGCTTATCTCCAGTGAGAGACATTACCCTCTTCTATTTTCAGTCCTCCAGGTAATTCCGCAAAATTAACTTGACACAGAAATTGGTCACTTCCTCACCAGGATAACACCTTCCCTCTGGGAACATATCAATCAAGACCACCCACCATGCCCCCAAAGTGGATGGAATTATTGTCCATTTGCTAAAGAATATGTTAGGAATCTTACTTCCTAATTTCTGGTTTTTAAAATGGAATCTTAGCTTTTAGATATAGTCCTTCCTGTTCTTACCATACTGTTTATGTCTCAGCATTTTTCATCATAGGCAGGAAAAGTTAGCTATGATGCTTGTCCCAGGTCCCTGGCCTACACCAATGGGAGTATTGACACCCATGCTACAAATCAAGGCAGTTTTTCCAGAGTTCTGGCTATTACTACTTACCAGAACACCCCTGCTCTTCTCTATTCATTCTCAAAGTCCTGTCACCTTTTCTGTAAAATATCAAATAGTGTAATCCTTTAAGTCTCATCTTCGCAGAGACTGTCTGTGCCTGATTAACCAATAGTTTATCTGAAAACCCAGGTTCTAATCCCATAACCGTCGAGTCTTCGGAGAGGATGCTAGAAGGCAAAGCATGAATTACATAGCCCCTGCCTTCCATAAATACCTATCTCCCTGTTTGTCTTGTTACTCACTTTTAGCTCTGCTTCTTGGGGTTTGAGTAATAAAAAGTAAATGAACATGGATGAAATTAACTTATTTTTGGCAGGATTAATGAGGCTTAATACGAAGCCAATGAGTATAGCATTCATCCAAATAAACTCAGAAAGAATAAATCCTTAGGACTGAACCATCAAGATCTACCCTTCACCTTACCTAAAAAGTCTCCTTAGTTATTAACTTTTCAATCAGTGGAGATGTCCCCTTTCCAGGTAATATCTACCTTCCCTTACTAGCCACATTGCTTCCTCATATTATGATATACCTTATTGCTTCTCAAATTTTAACATGCACACCAATTACCTGGGGAGTTTGTCATAATGTAGATATTCATTCAATAGGTCCATGGTAGGGCTAAGATTCAGCATTTCCAACTAGCTTCCAAGATTTGAATACCCTTAAGAGTGGAGAGGTCTAAACCAATGAAATCATCTAAGTCTCAATTATATTGCAAAGGATTCAGTAGATGAAAGCTTTAAGATAGCCTTAACCAGCACTCTATTTTTGTCTGATATGCTTACATTATTGGAAAACAACACATTTCCCATAGACCCAGATCCTTAGAATAAAATAACCAGGGAGGTAGTTGAGGTTGTAAATAACAGGAGAAAATATTTTTGAAAATTGAAAGTGTCGTTCCATTATCTGTATTTATTTTAGACATTGGCAACAGCCCAGAACTGGATTTCTCAAAGACAGCTGCTGTGAACTGGGGATGCTAACACAGCAGCAACCTGATGATTCCTTGTGCTATTAGCAAAGAAAGGTTTTTTTCATCTTTCTTACAGTAAAACCTGTTTAACCTCAAGAAAGATTTTTAAGCTTTCCTACAAAGCCTCTAAGACTTTGGTTGTCTAGATAGTCATAAAGAAGCACAATAATTTCCACCAAAGGATAGCTACAGGTGGTCCGAACACTTCAAGCATCATTGTTGTCTGGGGGTCAGAACAACTGAAACAACACCTAACTGTACTAAGTAATTTTTATTATTGCAACTAACATTTATTGAGGGTTTACTGTGTGATACACACTTGACAACCCTTATCCCAACCCTCTGAGATAAACATTATGACTCTACAACTTAAAAATGATAAAAATGAGATTAGGTAGGGTAACAATATACCCAGACTATCAGTATTGAAAGTGGCGGTACCAAGATTTGAATACTCTACATCTGAACAAAGAGCCTGTATTCTTAGCCATTGACAATAAAAATGTTTGACAAAGCCCCTCCCTGCGTTTACTGCCTGCAGTGACCTCCTTCTTCATTTCCCCCACAGCTTCAGCAATTTAATTACACCTGGTTAAGACTTATTAAACATGGAGAATGGTGCTTAGCTCCCATCCCCGATGAGGGCGCCCTGCGGCTGCACGCCTGTGATAACAGAAACAAAGAGCTAAAATGGCTGCATAAATCAACATCTGTCTTTCGTCCAGAACTGGTAAGCAAAATATTTGTACCTCATCTTTACCACAAACCCAACTTTCCATTAAATGGGACATAAAACCTTCACTGTCAGCTTCCTCAATCGGAAGCTTTAAATGTGTTTGTGACAATAGAGGCAGTGTGAAAGAAAGCTCGTATTGAGAGATTAATAGATATTTTTGTAAATTGTCAAGTCTTTTTTTTTTACAGTATTTATTTCAAATCTGTTATTTTAAACAGAAGTCACCAGGTTCTTTTGGTTGTACTGTTATCAGCATCTGTGTTTCTAAAAGTCATTTGCTTTAGTCAATTAGCAATGCCAAGAGTAAGGCTTATAGGCTAGAGCGGCTCTCACTGGTGACCAGAAAACTTAGAGGGAGAGTGTATGGGGAAAGCAGGAAGCAATGTGCTTCCTACAAGCCCTGAACTTTAGTATGCATCTGGTTTGCAGGCATTCTGCCTCCGTCCTGTGGAGGGAGGTTTTTCTCATTCCCTGATTCCTAGAGAGCTGGGTTCTTTCAAGGGTATTGGAGCCGGCTCCCTGCAGCTTAAAGGAGCTGATTGTATGCAGTCACCTTCAGTTATATCACATCCGTACCTTGAAATCAGCCATGATGGTGTTGCCGGGCAGCTGCATCTGGGAGGTCTTTCTCTGCGCACCAGGTGAAACCTCAACCTGGAGGGGAGAGTGTTCTTGACTCTGAAGGGAAAGAATTCTTGAGCAGGTTGGAGGAATGTAGGTAAGGAAGGAATTGATTAGAGCGAGAGTAGAAATGACTGGCAGTGGCCTTGCAGGCAGCTGAGAGCAGGAAATGCAGAAGTGCAGGGGGTAAGGTCGCTAAGCATTTCTTGATATTGGACGATGCCCTTGTCATCTCTTAAGGCCAGGGTCACTTGGCACCCCGTGTCCACTTGGATCTGCACTGCCTGGGGAGAACCTCTACCACCCTAGGACTTGGGGAGCTGCAGAGCACAAGATGGAGGGAGATTATATTCTGAGAACTTCCCAAAGAAGGGAGATTTTCAGGCAGGCTTCCTGCAAGTTCCCAGATGATGGTAATTTGCAGGCCCAAATCTGAGCTCTCAGCAGCCCCTCCCTACTTATCAGGAGTAAAACGAAGACTTGGAAATAGAATGAAATAGCAAAAAGACAAAACACAGTCAGTTGAACAGTGAGAAAGCTTTATTTAAAGGTACACACTTTATTTCAAAGTACAAAAGAGAGAAAAAGTGTGGGCATCCTCAGAGAGGAGGCACACTAAAACACTGGGATTTATGTCTTTTAAGAATTTTTCAAAGGGCCAGTGGATATAGACTTGTAAATGGTCTCAAAATGCTTATCTCCAGTGAGAGACATTACCCTCTTCTATTTTCAGTCCTCCAGGTAATTCCGCAAAATTAACTTGACACAGAAATTGGTCACTTCCTCACCAGGATAACACCTTCCCTCTGGGAACATATCAATCAAGACCACCCACCATGCCCCCAAAGTGGATGGAATTATTGTCCATTTGCTAAAGAATATGTTAGGAATCTTACTTCCTAATTTCTGGTTTTTAAAATGGAATCTTAGCTTTTAGATATAGTCCTTCCTGTTCTTACCATACTGTTTATGTCTCAGCATTTTTCATCATAGGCAGGAAAAGTTAGCTATGATGCTTGTCCCAGGTCCCTGGCCTACACCAATGGGAGTATTGACACCCATGCTACAAATCAAGGCAGTTTTTCCAGAGTTCTGGCTATTACTACTTACCAGAACACCCCTGCTCTTCTCTATTCATTCTCAAAGTCCTGTCACCTTTTCTCAATTCTTTGTTAATAGGACACAAAGTTATAAGCCTTATTCTAGAACCTTGAAATGGCAAGAATGATTTGGGGCCAACCTTCTCAAATTTTCTATCTTGAACAAGTAGCCACAAAATCCACTGAGTGCTGTGAATATTTGAAGACCATCACTTTGCTCAGGGCTGTCTTCAAAGTAGACACACTTTTTTCCTGGGATTACTTCCATTTCTTTTGATGTCACAGCCAGGGACTATTTCCTTTATGAAACTTTTCTCCTGGCTTAGGGTTAACATCAGGCATTGAATAGCACATTCTCTAATCTTCTCTCCTTCAATCCTCTCTATTACATTTCAATTCCTTAGGGACATTTTTTTTCTCTTCAGTGATAATGATTATTATTGTGTTATTCAGAAAAATTAGAAATTACTGGTATGTAAGCTGCTAATTTTATGTTGCATAGTCTTGGAAAATCCATAAACATCACTGAATAAAGTATATCTGACTTTTTGTTTCTTTAACATCAAAGGAAGGTTGTGATGTGCAGGGAGGGAGAAAGAGAGAGAGAGAGAGAGAGAGAGAGAACAAGAACATATTCCTCATCTCCAGGAGTGAATCTGTTAGCAGAAGAAATTTCAGACTGGTGAGAAAATATTTAGGAATAAACAGTCCTTAAATCACACAGGGCTTATTTACAAACTGGTTCGGCCCCATTAAGAACTGAAGCCTTCATTAGCTGTTTTTTTTATCGGCCCAATCTTAGTCCCCCTAAATGGCAAGCCTATTTGTGAAGAAGGTAATTTAATTAAGATGCAAACATTAGAAAGCTGTTTCCCTACCTTGTTTGTATCTAAGACTTTGTAATATGTTATATAGCTATTTTCTGCCTTGGGTTCCCTCTTTTCCATGCTGCTAAATGTCATGGTGATGAATATCTTAACAATTGTGTTTCTTCTTTTTTCAGTATTTTGGTATTTTGGTTGTTTTCATACTATACCTCCTAAGTCCCCAAGACGCGTAAGTCTTAAAAATAAAAAGAGAGAAATGCAGAATAAACTATGACTAACAGGAGCATGTCTCTCCTTTTAGAAAGAATCATGAGTTGAATTCCACAGAAAGAGGAAGGGTAGTAGTGAGTTTGACATTGGATACCAATGAACTAGTGAAATTATACATTTTTAAACCTGTATTTAATAGATGTTTTGTAGGCCAGCCCTCCCCAAATGCTATGGATTATAACATAATCCACCTAAAAGGAAATTATCTCATAGGGGGCTTTTAGGACTTTGGGGCATGGGATGCCCCTCCATCACAGGTTTCTTCAAGTGTCTTTAGGTTGGGGACAAGTTATTTAGTTACCTCTTTATAGTACACCAGCAGAAAATTGTAGATGATCCAGAATGATTTTCCTCAAGAACAATTATTTTACAAAAGGAGATACTCTCTGAGCATACTCAAGTATCATTTCCAGAGTCCTACAAGGATGACAATGGTCTTGTAGGAATAGGAACATCTTTAAAATTTATTATAAAATCACTCCTGTTTGATGATTTTTAAAGTATTTCAAAATAATATACATACATGTGTGTGTGTATATATAATTAAAATTATCTTTGTCATAGTCATAGAATTTGGAGAGAATTGATAGGTAAAAATTATTATAGAGTTACAAGCAAACTCTGTTGGTTATCTACCATTTCTAGGATACTAAATAAATATTAAGCAAAAATAGAACCCTCTGAAATACCTTTGATTTTTTTCTAATTACATGTGGATTTTCCGGACATTATGCATTATGTACTATCAGAATTATAGCAGGGAACTCACAAATTAATACATCATTACTGACAGTTTGTGTTCCAAATTTGCATTCTCATTAAGGTATGGACTTAATTAAGAAGTGAACTAACTCACTTTTTGTGATGGTATGTGTTTTTGCTTTACCACCATCTGTCAAATATAGAAAATGCCTTCTGGACTTCTTTTAAATAATAGTTATCAGCTATATCACCAGAAAATTCATCTTTTACTTCCTGAGGACTTAAGAGTCTTGTAACTTGGAGAAGTGTAAGAACTTAGTTTGAGATAGATACAAACTCTGTACAGTCCAAAGCCTATGTTTGTGTGACTAATTTAGTTCAGGAGAATTCCTAAATAATCAAAAATATAATTATCTTTTTCTTTAATTGGTTTTCATTTCTTTGCATCTCAGCTGTCAAATTCATTCTGTGGCTCATTCCCAGATGCCCTTTCTTTTCAGGTGAATCACATTGTTTTTGGAAACTATCATCAGTTGTTATGCCTGGAAGGACATTTTTCTAGGAAGACCCTGAAAGTTGCTGCTTGTGACCCACAGAAGCAATATCAAAAGTGGAAATTTGAAAAATATTATGAAGACTGAAGAGCAACGGATATTTTTATCTTGCAAACCCATTAGACACTGTGAAAATGGCAGTGAACGTGGTGACTGTATTTCTCCATGGTAGTTTACATTTTCAAAATTTATAGCATTTGAATGGAAGATTTAAAAAACCCACAGTATTTGAGACACCAAAAGTTAACTCAGGGAAACAGTCCAACTTTGGATCAGAGTCCTTTTTCACCACCAGGTGACCTTTTGAATTGCTTGCTTCCTGCCCTGCTGCCCTGTGCTGAAACTCGACCTTCAAATTTCCCTGTGCAATCAAACAGGTACCAGGAAATGAAGACCAGGTACTTGGGGAAGCACAATCATGATGACTGGATTTGATAATAATCACATCTTTTGGCCCATAAGTAGATATAATCAATGAGAACCTGGTCCTTTATATGCTATTTTTTCATCAGAAGAAAATTAGCTAGGTTCCTATGGATAGAAAACCTCAGAAACACCCAGCTACCACTTTGATGAAATTCCTCCCAACTACATGCATGTTCATCTAACAGTTTGGAAGAGAAATGATGTAATATTCCTTGATGGCAGGGTTTTGATCTAGATGATTACATCATGTTTTTTCCCAGTCTGAATCAGTGTAAAAATTTTCAAGTGAGCAAGTGCTTACTCAATTCTAGATACAGACATTGTTTCAGCTCATTTTGTGCTTTTAAAACTACACTTAAAAAGAAAACAGTCATATTAGTAACTTCCTAGACTTATGTGGATATTTAAAAAAAAAAAAAAGGATATACAAAGAAAGGGTCTGGATCACAGCACACCGCAGTAAGCAAAAATACATTTAGTAGTTGAACACACTCCAACGCAGGACCAGTTAAGAAGAGTTGAAACAAAGCAGAAAAAGAACACTAAAAAAATATTAAGGTTCTTTTTTTATAAATGATTTAAAAGCATTCATAGGGTTAAAGTATGCTAAAAACAAAAAGGCTTTAAAAGATTTCAAGGTAAAAATAAAATGAAGGCAACATAATGAAATGGGAAGAGAATGAGGTAAGCAACCCCAAGAAGAGAATTTAGAAAAAATGAGATTCAGCCAGAAAAGAAAGGTGATCCTGATCTGTTTGGTGGAAAGGGAAACAATAAAGGCCTAGATGTGGACCTATTGATAACAGTAATAAATTTGGATTGAAGTCCAATATTTCTTGTATCTAAAATGAGCTTCTCATCTTAGTCATGCCAATACGGGTGTACCAGGAGAGATCTTAGAAATCCTAATATGCTTTACATTCATTTTGGTAAGAAAGTTGATGCTCAGAAAACACATTACTGTCTAAACATTTCATGCCAGTTAGTGAGAGACTGAAGATTAGAATTTGAATCTCTACAGACGGGCCATTCTACTGCCCCGGGCCACTGGCCTAAACAAATCTGTTCCACAGCATTCTTAAGAAAAGGATACATAAACCTTTTCACAAGGGGTGGATCTCTGGAGGATAGCCATGCTATATGCTTGTTAATATTAAAAAAAAAACTTTTTGCTGATGGTAAAACTGGGCATCTTTAATCCTGACTACCTATTAAAAATGTAATTTTAACTCCCAATTAATTACACAAAAGCAGAGTAACAACTTATGATTGGAAGGGGAAGCAGTTTTGCATATTTGCGTCATTTTAAAGATGTTTTATTTCAATAATTGACATGGCAGATGAGATAAGAAATGACTAGAAAAATTAGACAATTACCTCCAAAACAGAGCCATACAAGGGAGAAAGCACTAACTGAATGGCTGGTCACACTGAATGCATGGGGTGCCTCATGCACTTCTTCGTGTCCCTGAGAAATGTTGAAAGGTTTTCTCCACCAATCTAAAAACTCTCTTTTTAGTCAAAAATAATTTCCACCAAAAACCTCAACTCTTCAGAAAAAGATGAATTATGTTTCAAATACTCTTACCTTCAGGCATACCAGCAGAAGAAATATAAATCTTTTTCTCAAAAAACCTTCTACAGTATATTCAGTGTATGCTTTTCCTGACTTTCTCCTGAACATACTTAACCATGAAGCTATCGTGAAATCTATATTGTCAATATAACAAAGGATTGTTTTCATACATCACGTTTTTGGTTTGGGGTAGAATTTTAAACACAGCTTTGCCATGTACTTGCTCAATTGCTACAGTGCGAGGAATTAATCACTAGTTAAGAATTTTATAGGCCTAACCTGAATAGTATCGACTAATCATTAAATCTACTACCAATATTTTTTAAGCCTTGCCCTCTAAATATCCTTTGCCGAGGACTGTAATAAAGGTATACATGCTACTAGGTCTTCTGCTACTCTTAATGAGAAACCCTTGGATGGGACACATTAGGATCCGAATCAGCCCTGAATTCTTCAAAGGGGGCTGTGTTACTGGGGACTTCAGTTTTCCCTGGATTGGCTTGAATTTATTACCTTTGCTGAGAAAAACCTCTATGCATCTTGTTACCTTAAACACAGCATAGACTTGATAATATTTTATAGGACTTATTTGATTGAAAACTCACTCACCAAAACATCTGAGTGCTTCTGAGCCTTTAAGTTTGAACAATTTCTTTCTTTTTTTCAAGTTACCCAGAACTTCCACCCCACTCTCTCCAAAGAATGATACGGCTGGTGTTGGTACAACTGTTTTATCACCGGGGTCAAATCTGCTCAGTTCTGCTTGCTGATAATTCGATCAGCTGTCAATCGCAGGCCAAAAACCACCATGTACCCTGATCATGATGTATTGTTAGCTTCTCCAAAACTAATTTGGAAATATTCTCTTGGATATTAAAACGCCTTGCTTCTAGTATCCCCTTGGGGATTGTAGAGGGGCAAAGATGGTGCATTGGAATTCAGTTTCCCCAGTCAACCCTGATTTCATGAATGGCTTAGCATAATTTTCAAGGGGTTCTCATGTAAGAGAATGGGGTTGAGTCTGACCAAATACTGCCATCTTTATTTGTTCTAACATGTTTAACTTCCATATTCAAACACAGGAAAGAAATTATGCCTCAGATGAAAGCCCCAATATCTTGGATAAAAGCAAGGAAATTACAAGTAATACAGGGAAAAGGGATGGGAATGAATTGTCTTTGAGTACCTACAAACTGAGTGACGTGTGTCTCATTCAAGTCATCATTTAGATGAGGAGGGTGGGTGCCAGGGAAGGCTTAAAGTCATCCTACAGGTATGAGGTCAAATTTGTTTTCTTTTTACCTGGCTGAAAAGAAGTCTCTTTCCCTGTATCATGCTACTACAGCTTAAAATCCCTTGGCAGTTGTGGAGTCAAACCCCTTAGGTCTCTCTCTTGAATGTTGTATAGACAAGACATAGAGGCTGAATCCCTCTATGTTAAACAACTGAAGTGTAGGCTGAACAATAGCTGTCCCCACATGCTTTGCAGTTTCTATCTCTTTGACTTTATGCAGGACATATATCTTTTCCATTTCCTAGAACCTGGAAAATAAGAGGGGAAAGTGGACATAGAGCAATTGCTTCTCCATGAATAATAGTACCAATTCTTCTTTCCCAAACTTTAATCAAAGCTGACAGGTTGCTCAATTTGAACAGAGGGAAGTGAAAAATGGAAGAATCCTTTAATTTAAAAAACAAACTAAGACTTGTACCTTTCACTTCATTGTACAGATTGTTGCCAGAGTGCTTTTGCAACAAACTTTGTATAGGTTACTCACCAATTGCTACAATGCCCTGAAATGAGAAAAGGGACACTAATCAAAGTTAATGTACAAAATGCTTATTTTTGCCAATCATTCATTCCAAGGACAGGTTTAAATAAGCCATGTGTAAGTATTATATACTCCTGATAATGTCAAATGATTGGTATTTCAGGTGTTGATGGTGCCCTTGTCTGAAAGAAAGAAAAGATGTACCATCACAGATTTAATGCTTCTGCTAATTAGTTAATCCCTCAAATGGGTCAACTAATAGCATTAACTCCAGTTACGGTCTCCTTTGCAAGTTTATAGGAATCTTTACTTTGCAAAACACACATGAAAATTCTCATTTTTCTGCAAATAGAGAAACTTCTAATATACTGAGTTCCTAATGATGATAGTTGCTATCAAATAAGTATCAAATAATTTCTGTGAAAACCAGAGGCTTTCTATTTTATTACTGAATGATAGGTATCTCTCAGTTCAAGAATATTGGTCATAAATGTCTGTATAAATAAAGCTTATATTAGATGTTAAAACTAAACTTTTTGACAGCATAGATTGTCTTTACTTGACCTTCAAAACATATTGATCTTTATAAATATATATGTATATATACGTGTATATATTTTGTGCTTTGAACTGGGAAAAAGTAAAACCAAGAATTTCTGTTAACAAGAAAAGAAAAATTAAGAAATGTTTTTAGATGTTTTTAGATATTTTAGATACTTTTAGCTCTCTTTTAATTACACAGCTTTGTCTACACCTAGCCTTCTGGACAAGAGTATCTCAGGTGGACTTTTACTCTGGTTACTGTTTTCCATACTTGAAAGGGGTAACCAAACTCTAAATTATCAGATTTTTGTTAGCCGGTTTAGGATTATGCACATGCCTTAATTCTTCTTCAAACAAGGTCCCGAACATTGTAAGCTTTATATATTGGCAGTAAGAGGTGCACATGAAAGCAAGGGAAGGCAAAGATCCAATTAGTGACTCTTGTTATTGATTACCTGAAGACATCTGTGAATGGAGGGACTCAAAACTATGGAGTATAAAGGAATTTGGAATTCATTTGAACATTTTTAAGTACCCAATTTTTCTGTCTGGCCAACTAAAGTTATTATAAAGGAGGAATCAAATACAAAATTTTGTTTCCAAGTAAAAATTCAAATTATTTTCCAAATTCATTTGCAACACTCTCCCAAGCGGGCAGTTAATTACTAGATACCATCATTTGATGTTGTAGTTTGTCATGTATCAGTGATTTCTGCTGCTCACCACCTGTGCCATTGTGTTCATGTTGATTCGGTAAAACCAGAGGCTTTCTATTTTATTACTGAATGATAGGTATCTCTCAGTTCAAGAATATTGGTCATAAATGTCTGTATAAATAAAGCTTATATTAGATGTTAAAACTAAACTTTTTGACAGCATAGATTGTCTTTACTTGACCTTCAAAACATATTGATCTTTATAAATATATATGTATATATACGTGTATATATTTTGTGCTTTGAACTGGGAAAAAGTAAAACCAAGAATTTCTGTTAACAAGAAAAGAAAAATTAAGAAATGTTTTTAGATGTTTTTAGATATTTTAGATACTTTTAGCTCTCTTTTAATTACACAGCTTTGTCTACACCTAGCCTTCTGGACAAGAGTATCTCAGGTGGACTTTTACTCTGGTTACTGTTTTCCATACTTGAAAGGGGTAACCAAACTCTAAATTATCAGATTTTTGTTAGCCGGTTTAGGATTATGCACATGCCTTAATTCTTCTTCAAACAAGGTCCCGAACATTGTAAGCTTTATATATTGGCAGTAAGAGGTGCACATGAAAGCAAGGGAAGGCAAAGATCCAATTAGTGACTCTTGTTATTGATTACCTGAAGACATCTGTGAATGGAGGGACTCAAAACTATGGAGTATAAAGGAATTTGGAATTCATTTGAACATTTTTAAGTACCCAATTTTTCTGTCTGGCCAACTAAAGTTATTATAAAGGAGGAATCAAATACAAAATTTTGTTTCCAAGTAAAAATTCAAATTATTTTCCAAATTCATTTGCAACACTCTCCCAAGCGGGCAGTTAATTACTAGATACCATCATTTGATGTTGTAGTTTGTCATGTATCAGTGATTTCTGCTGCTCACCACCTGTGCCATTGTGTTCATGTTGATTCGGTGGCCTAGTCAACTGTGCTCCACGAGCTGTCTTCACATTTTCATATTCATCTTTATTATGTCACTGTCTGATATTTTAATATTGGCAAATGTTTGCTGTAACTTTCAACATTACTTTTTTATAGCCTTCTTGTTTTTACAGAGCAATGAAAGTTCAGGCTATGAAGGCAATGCTTGCCTTTCTCATATGGTCAAATATATTTCTTATTTATGATACTCTGATGCTTCATCTTTTTCCATAATTCTCTATTATTACTTATTTTAAAAGTTTTTCCTATCAGTTTGAAAAACTTAAATGTCCATTCTCCAT